ATAGTAAAACGGGAATGTTTAAAGAATGAAATTCCTTCACCTTGGCTGAGTGAAAATTGTGTATGGATCTTAAATCCATTCAACCCTGGATTCCTTTCTCTTGCACATCTAATACAGAAAGAAAATCTATATTTGATTCATCATACAATCTAAATAGAATATAGTGATTCTGGCTTTCTTCTAGTATTTGCAGGCTATAAATCAATCTTCCTTTATGAATAAAAAGATAAAATGCTAATATTGTATTTTTTAGCTTTTTTCTATAAAAACAAGCATAATATTTGAACCATATGCAGCATACTGTGTATGCATAAGCATTTATATATCTTGTTTACATTGGCTAAGGATTTATTAAGATACTGGGCTACAGAAACTTATTAACTTTGTTAAATGGGGAAGAAACTGCATGCACATGAGTGTTTGCATTTCTGTCATTACTTTAAGAAATAACTGTTTTCCTTGTTGTTTTACTGTCCACCAAATACCCCCATTACTAACACATAAACTTAGTTTCTTTTAATCATATCTCTCTCTGTTGATGCAGAAGTTTTCACTCATATACAATTAAAATCAAATTGTTAGAAAATAAATTCTCATAGACCATACTCAAGAGTGCACGTAAGGGATGGAAGGCCACTTTTACTGGAAACAGTGAATTTTTTGAATTTTTTTTTTTACTGAAAACAATAGCTGGCTTCTTAGTCAAAAGAACAATTCAAATAAGAAACAATCATAGCAAATGTGAACATCTTCTTAAAATACTATTTTAATTAATTTAAATTGTATATGGAAAGCTTCAGCGTAATTCCTGAACTCTACTTTGCAGGAGTTGGAGTGAATTTGGTAAGCATTCTGAACCCTGCCCCGAGGAAAAGCCTGAGGTCTTCGGACTGAGGAAGAAAGGTAAAACTAAACATCACTTCAGTGAATTAATCCTCAGAAATGAAGGATTGCCAATCCTTAGTAAAATAATATTTTCATGAACTGGAATTTCGATACTTTTAAAAAATGAAAAGAAAAAAATTGAAAGGATTGTTCAGCATCCCTGCCCTGACAGGTGAAGGAACGCAATGGCAGTAAAGCACAGAAGTTGCATCCCTGTCCCCCTTCCCTTTCTTCCTTTGGCTACTGACTTTGGCTTTATGGCATGGACTATGAGTACTCATGAGTTTGAAGACAATATTTTTTGTTCTAAATACCAAACTGACCATCTATATAGGCTTCTTCGTTTCATAATTTTTAAGATGTGCAGATTGTGCTTCCTCAAACATTTTCAGGACTTCACTACTTACAGGAAAAGAGATGGAGGCTATTATATGCAGTGGTTATGCTTCCCTAATCCAAAACTGTTCTTCTCTCACCAAGATCCTTCCCCATTTGTCCCAAGCAACTGGGCTACCGAGTCTCTGATCTGCTCTCCAAAAACTGCACTTCTTTTCCTAACCGGCTTTCTTTTTGGTCTCATAATGATGGCAATTTTACCTGCAATAACTCTTACATCCGTCTGATAAATATTGAGTCTAATTTCCTCCCTTCTCTTCCTTTAATTTCATTACACTTCCTTTGGAGGGAAGAGAAATACTGGAGGGTTCAGGAAATGGAAAGAACATTGGGCTAAGAAGATAGTTGGGCTATTGCAGGTACAGACTCACTGACAGATTCTTTCCAGCCCAATCCCAGGAAGTGGTAGCTGTTCTTTCACCATGTACAATAATCCTTGGCAGGTTTACAACTCACAAAAGTATCTCTTACTTTCTTGAAGAAATGCCCTTTAGCTTGCTTGCTAGACCAGTTACATTTTCATCCAATTCTCCTCCCTCTATTTCTACACTCTTCAAGCCATTGTCTTGTTCACATCCCTCTGTCCCTAAAGGAATCAGAAGAGTTATCCTGGAGAGCCCTAATCCCTAATTTTTGTATCTTGTCCTGTGGTCTAAATTCGTCAAGATCAGGGAGCTCTTTGGACTCACTGGAACCTCTGTAACTCTGTCCTCATCATCCTGTTCAGCTTTGTGAACTCCTTTCCTAGTTGTGATAACTGGCTTACTCACCAAAGAGCTCCAGCCAGAAGGTGCCTCGTCCTTCTACAAAACAATCCTCTCATATGTTCCTTTTGTTCCAGTTTCCTTCCCAGGCTCATTTACTTGAGAATAACATCTTCAGGGGACATGTCCATAGCAAAGGGAGTGGGTACAAAAGTACACAGTGCCAATAAAAACACCTACCATATTGGACCAGTGGAGTCTGGAAACTCGAGTTGGGCTGGAAGGGATCATCCACTTAATCAGCGAAACAAGAAATCAGAGCAATGCTCCACTGCCTCCATGAAACAAATTTCAGACTGAAGTGAGCTCCATCTTCGTCCTGTTGGCCAGAGAAATATTTTAAGATTGTTCATGCTCTCATTACTTGCATTATTATTATTATTATTATTATTATTATTATTATCAGCTTAATTTTGTCATTATTGATGCAGTTTCTGTTATTCTCTTTTTACTGTTGTTGTAGCTATTATACTGTTCAACAGAAGTTTAGAAAGATTAGTCAGATTAATTAGTTTATTGGTAATTTAAAGCTGAAAACTAGTAATTAAGCCCAAAACTATAAATGATCAGGGATGATTCATACCGATGCAAGATTTGGGAGGAAGAGAATCTAAATTTTGGATATAAAATTTGGCAGCTATGAAATAAATAGGATTTGGGATCAAAATACGATAACTGATTTTTTTTTTTAAGTCTCTCAACCACGCCCCCTCCCGCAAATTCAACTAAGAATACACTGATTTGCTTGGTAGAGGGGGAAAATCCACTTGTTTTTGTTTACAGTGAACAAAGATCTTGTGTAAGCTTTTCATGTTCTTTGCATTTTCACATGGATTCCCAGTGCTCAGGACTAGCCCAGCATCTAAGATCACTCCCTTCCAAGTCTGCCTCCTTCATCTCTTTACTCTTGTGAGGCACCTCTCTGAAAAGGTTGCATCACATAAGACAGGTATACAATTTCATCCCTCTCAGACAGATTTCATGGAATATAAATTCAATAATGCAATTCTCTCCACAACAAGCTCTCTGCTCTCTTTCAGATATAATTAATGTTTTGATAGTGTAGTTCTTTAACTACATATATACACACAAAAACAGACGCACCCTCTAGCTTTGCTGTTTGTGCATCTACAACAGAAATGGATGCAGCTCTTTCAGTGACTCCTCAAATTCTTCAACTCAGCCCACAGAGAGGCAATCAGTTTAGCTAATAATTACAGACTATTTTGTGCCTGGAAATATTTTAAATAATTACAGAATGCATGTTTTTGGTTTTTAGGAGTCATCGTTTTGTCAAATATCCTAGAAAAAAAAGATTATTCTCAGTTGAAATTCTGACACAAACATCTACTAGGTAACAGTCAAAATCAACAAAACCATTGTCCTAAACCCCTGGTTGGCTCATCCAAATTTTGATTATGGAGACAGTTTCAGTATCTTCCATTTTAACCAGCTGGGACTACAATGCCATAAACTTAATAACAACACTGCAATGACGTCTAGGAGATATTATTTACACTGTCAAGCATCTTAGCTCTTTGTTTTAGGTGAATTAATTTGCTTAATTGTGATTCGTTGAGTGAAAAAGATGGCTAGAGAGACAGCCACATAAGATATATCCATAACCATGGCCAACAGGGGTTAGATGAACAAATGATGAACTTCCGCATTCAATGGTATTGTACTGTAGCCCTAACATTTTATTTCTCCAAACTGATTACAATTTTAAGAGGACAAATAATCTTGCAAAGAGTAAGGCATTATATGTTTTCTATCTTTGATAAAGAAAAGATAGGAATTCATTTCAATACAAACATCAACCTTAGTCTGTCTATGGTGTTATTGAGTGGAAGAAGCTGGATATGTAGCACTAATATATTGATTTCCAAACATAACTGCTATTTTGCTTGGTGTGGGACAGTATTAAGATGCTGGCAGGTGAAACATTTCATACACTTATTTCCTCCACAATCTTTTTAAACAGGCAATGTGTCAAAGTTTTTTTTTTTTTTTAATCCTTCAAAGATTGACTTTCTTGTTCTTCCTATTTAATGTTTGGAATTATAAAGAAGATAAACGAATGATCAAAGGAGGAAGCACATGTGACTGATTTCAACCAGATATTTTTGTTTAATGGGAAAAGTTTTTTCCAGTGCAATTGTGCAAAAAAGCAGATAGGATGTGATTCTTGAAGAGCTCCCTTGTAATTTGTGTTTTTAAATGGTGGCCCATTTGGGTTCCTTTCTCATTACTTTCCCTCAAACTCTTTGCCTTGAAAGCATAAATGTAGGACTGCTTTATCCTTTCATTCTCTCACAGAGTAAAATGTAAACATTAAATATTTTAATTAATTTTCCAAGAAGAAATTTCTTACAGATCTACACATTGAATCCTAGTAAAAGACTAACTTACCAATCCAGTTGTTTATCTCTAGCTAACTAAATGTCTGCCTCTAGTGAGTTACAAACACATAAATAATGGTAATTTGTTTTATAATATTGATCATCAATGATGTGTGAGTTATCAAAAAGAAATTGCTCCTCGGACTTTTATATTTTTTATTATTTCTTCCTCGTGTTTATTTTCTTTCAGTATTTTTTGAGAGAGACAGGACTAATTCTCTGATTTCCAAATGAGGTTTTGTTTGGCTCATGTTAATATTAAAGAAGATCACACACACCGTTGAAAAATATTGTTATTTTTCTTTAATGGGGAAAATTGGACTCCCGCGTGTCAGATCTGTGGATTTTCGAAAGGCAGTGGAAATGGTACTGACATCACTTTGCACTTTAACAATCGGATTTGGTCTGGGTACAAGTTGTTTGTTTAACCCGACAACTCGGTGCACCCCGTCGCACGCTTTGCACACTCATTAAAACGATTATTCACGACCTGTCGAGTGTTTTCGGGTTCATTCACAGGAAAGACTTGGAGCGAGGGCGAGCGATTCAAGTCAACACTGTCCACTACCCCGGTGCACGTGAGGACGAGCTGGTGCGTGCCTAAAAAGGCGGAGGGCGGGGTGGGTGTGTGCGCGCCTTTGCCAGAAGTCCTGTGCTCTGGAATCTCAATCTCCACAGAATGCCAAGAGTGCTTGCTCCTACAGGGGCCATCTCGCTAAGTTAACTTCAAGGACTTGGCACAAGACAGAAAAATAAAACAAAGAAACTCGAAACTCTTCCTCTGCTCCTCCTTTGAACCTCCTGTAAAACTGTAGGTCCCAGGACTAGAGAATTGCCCACCTTCTTTCTGCAAGCAGCCCTGGACCCAAAGCTTCACCTCTCTGAGCCAGGACGCTGACAATGACTAACTAGTTTCAGGAAGACTCGACAGGGTGAGGAGATTAATTCTTTTTCCAGGTCCCAATATCCTTCCCCTTCAAAAAGAATTTAGTTAAGTTTACTCTTTCTATATTTCTTGCAACAACTGGAGGGGGGTGGGGCGTCGGAAAACAATGTATAAGACTCTGAAACGCACAGTATTTGGTGCCTGTATTCCAAAGTACTAACATGGAAAAATTCGACAAAAGTCCTATAGAGTGAGGACTAAATAGCTCTAGATAAGTTACGCTATTGTTTGTTTGTTTGCTTTTCAGTTCTGAAGTAAACTTTCAATACTGTGGATTGGCAGTGAGCGAAGCAGGAGCATGAGTGAGTCTCAGGCTTTCACTATTGCCTTGTTGTGATGGAGGACGCACTATATGTTTTTAGTTTTCCTATTTGTTCAAATGAGTCCCGGCACCTAATATTCATATGAGACATTAGCATAAGAGAGATACCTGTCTTCGTAAGATATAATTGCATCTATACCCTGATGCATGAGTGTATTCACGCACTTAATAATGCTCAAACACTCCAGAATGTGTTGTTCAGTATAAGTATCATGACATAATTTAGAGTTAACAGGTGTTTTAAAACAAATATCTCATATGTCTATATATAAATGATTGCACCTTGATTTTTCATCAACAGCATTAGCGAACCCAAGGGTCAGCTTATTGTTATGAGGGTAACCTAGTTATCCCAACTGAGAAAGACAAGTTTCATTCATCAGTTTCATGCTATTATATCTGACAACATAGAATCGTGGTCTGCTATTTTATTGAAACATATAAATACAATGTAGGAAGAAAAGAATGGGAGTTTTCCAGCAGCAAGAGATTTTAATGAGAAACAGTTTCCTAATTGCTAAAAAAGCAAGTATGAATAAGTAATTTCCTAAACTTGTAAGGTTGCTATAATTCACGATCAGGTTTACTTAAAATGGATCTGTCAAGTATGTCTCGCTTCCTATATAAGCTCGTTCATTAAAAGCAACCTGCGATAATAATCAAGAGGCAGATGCTGAAATATGTAAGAAAATAACTGAAAGCCTTTGCATAAATAAACACAAATCAATGTAGTAATAGACAACATTATTGATGTAGGGATGATCGATTTTAGTCTTCCAACCAGCAATCAGAGCTTGCAGTGTATAATTAAAAGTATATCTTTCATCTCCACTAATACTACCACTACAGTAAAAAATAGACAAATAAACAAACAATACCTGCTGCCAGCCTGACTTGATTCTACTTTTTTCCTAGAGTTTTTTCTTTTTTTGATAGGATGGGAGGAGTACTTATTTTTTCTAAGAAAGCTTTGCCAACCTTTAAAACTACATCATTAATTACAGAAATTTTAAAGTATCAAATAATAAAATTACCACCTTATTCTTGCTCTGAATTTTTCAACCTTCGTGTCACCCTTTAATTATTCATTCAGCACATTTTAATAGGAAAAATACAATAATGTTCATTATTTTTAAAGAATTTTTTCCCCAACGACGTGGTACCTTTGGATTTTAAGATTCTTGGGGCCTTTTAAGTAAATGAGAAAGATGTCATTTCCTCAGTATACCATGAAAGCCCCTTCACCTATGCCTCAGTGTGCCAGCATTATGAAAGAAGAAAAGGGAGCTCTGCATTTTTCCAAAACTTTCACATAAGGACTGCAAAACAGCGTCTGACTTAGAGAAACAAATATACAATGCATTAGCAATTTACATATAAAACAGTGTTGGAGATTTTACTAAGAGTTAAATATTTTTTCAAGAATATCCCAGGAGGTCAGAATTGATTTCGAACAGCAAGCCCGGTATGTGTTGAGCTTGAGTATATGAGTTCTGAAGATTAATGAAAATATTGCTCATCATCAACTGAGATGATTCTTCATCAACTGAGATGCTTATTTATACATCCCTTAGGTCTAGGTTTCCCAAGTAGCAGCCTTTAAGAGAATGTCCTATATATGGAAATTTAACTACATGGGAAGTGACCTTGTTCCATGCAGTATTGCTGCATATAAATATTGATTTTGTTATCTTTAAATACTGCATGACCAAGCATCCTCCTTAACTCTTTTCTTTCCCGTCCAGAGCCAATAATTCAAGGGCAACCAGACCCAAAAGGAAAATATCATCAATTATTGTTTAGGGCTAATTTAACAGATAATTTAACTTCAAACAACAATGTTCAGGTCATTAAATCTCAGAGCAATGAGAAAATGAAAGAACCAAGGGACAACTCTCGCTAACCGCTTCACAGTTTTTAGTGTCTTCCTGCTCGAGCAAAAGAATCAAAACCACCTAGGAAGCTATGTTTGCTTCTGAAACGCACTGTTTCCAAGGATGACAGGATGGGAAGACAGGAAGAGAGGGACTAAAACTGCAGACCACGACTCTCATTCAGGAAGTGCTAGAGAGGCTGGAAACCTCAACCCGAAAATGGATACCCAAACATGTCTAGTAACGGACAGCAACTTCTCCTTCTGACTCAAATCTCCAAACTTCCAACGTGCAACTTATTTTTAATCCTACGCGGCTGATTTCCACAGAGCCGGAAGACGGGAAAGGCTAACATATGTTGCACTACAGGCCAAGAAAGACCTTCACGCACGTAGCTATGATTGTTACTTGTGATTTTAAGTACCTTTGCTCATCGCAATATCAGATTTTTTCCGGTCTTGAGTTTCATGAGCGGACGGGGTGAGAAGGGGGTTTTTAGGATTTTGACTGGCAGAGAAAGGGAACGCGCGGAGTTAGACGCACCCCACTCCATTCCGCTGGCCCTTTCTTTCCTGTCTCCGAGGCTGGAGTAACCGCGGAGCATTCCACGCTGGCCAGGGGTGACCTTCCCCCTCGAATCCCTGCCTTCCCTCTCGAATCTCCCCAAACCCCGGGAGTTCCTACCCCGAGGCTCTTTCCCCCAGACTCCACGTCTTAGACCACAGATGCAGTCAGGGAAGCAAAGCGGGGTGCAAAGCGATAGGCAGTGGAACGCAGAGACGACGTCTGTTGTAAAGAAAACAGTTTCATCAGCAGGTAGACGAATGCTGGGATCTGAAACTGCACCAGGTAAACAAAAAGAAACAATTTTCAGAGAGAAGAAAGGGGGCGGGAAGCACTGAGGACTAAGAAGAAAGAAACAAGGACTTGCTCCATCCAGCCTAGGTTCTGCAGGCAGTTTCCCTGAAGCTGCCGAAGTGAGTTGAAACCCTGAGCCCGGTTTGTCCTGGGCAAGAGCGCCCTCACGTTGCAGCTGGAGCGCAGCGCCGGGCTCTGCGGGAAGCACGGCCGCGCTGCCGGGAAAAGCCAGTTCTCCGCGGGCAGCCTCAGTTCTCTCCTGCGTCCAAAGCCCGAGAAAACAACGCCACCGGCTCCGTGCGCACGATTTCCAGTGCCGCCGAGGCACCCGCTCTCCAACTCCACCCCGGAGTCCCTGAAGCGCGGGAAGTCCAACTGGACACCGCAGCAAGGACCCCAAACTCGCTTTGGCGGAGCCAACCTGCACCTGGCGCGCGCTCGCAGCCACCCTGGGACAGACAGGCTCTGGAGCATACACCGCCGTCTCCTAAGTGTGCATTAAGAATCAATTATTTGCCTGATATTTCCAAAGCCGGGAACTGAGATATTCCCAGTAGGAATAAAGTCAGACCCAGAACGGTGCTCATTTCCCTGGTCTTTCGAAGACACAGAGAATTCTCCCAAATTCGTCCTGCACTCCACCTACTGAGGCCCGGTTAAATTTCGCAGGGACCTTCGCCAGAGCCAGGCCAAACACCGGGGCCGGAGGGCCAGCTCTGGGGGAGACTGGCAATGTTACAGTGTGAAAACAGGAGAAAAGGCGTTTTTAAAAAGAAAAAAAAAAAAAGAAAAAAAGAAAAGAAAACAGTTTTTCAGAGAGGGAAGTTCTTGACTAGAGCACAGAGCTTTATCTCAAATAGGGACACCAAATAATTCCGGATGTGAACGTTAATAAAGTCCTCTATTTCTCGCAGACGCCACAAGACTCAGAAATCATATTTGCATAAAACGAATCACTTTGCACTTTAGGACCTATTTTAGACTTCCATTTCCTTCTCCATGCGAGTTACTCTTGTGTTCTCTTCACCCCTCACCCCATGGCTACATCTTCTTTCCTTAGGGATCCACCGTGATTTCTATCAGTGTGGAAGATGCATGCATCCTTTCACCTATGTCTGTTGGTATCGAACCAGCTAGGAACATTTTCCAAGAAAAGAGGAACACTTCCGTCCAGGAACTGGACCTCGAGGTTCAAAGCTCCTTCAAAAGCGGTGAGTAGGACTCACTCCCCACATTAACCTGCCCAGTGGAAAAGCACTTTCACTTACCAGTCTTGGAAGAGCGCTCTCAGTCCTCAAGTCTTTCTTCTCGGCATCCATCCATCGGGAAACAACCTCAGGCAGAGTCCTAGGGGAAAGGGGGAAAAAAAAGACAAATTGGGAGCGAGAAAGGAAACACAAAACGTTACAGTGTATCATATATTCGCCAGCCCCGAGCCCCCTAGGTCTCAGGCATCTAGACAAGGTCCCCAGGAACTGACCGCTAGAGCGGGAAAGCCAGTCACTTTGGGGTCTGAAAAGTAAGAGGCCGCTGGTGGTTGGGGGAGGGGTCAGGAAGCAGAAGGGGGAAGGATGATTGGGACAAGGAAAAGAAAATCTTCATTAAAAACACGGGGGAAAATGGAGGATGAAGTACTAACCGAGAGATCCTCTGGGCCCTTTTAACTCTTACAGGTAGGTAGCTCTTGGGGTGAACGCAAGTTGGCGTGAAAGAGAATCTAGATGGCCTCTATTCTTTCCGTATCTCTAGGATCTGGCCTTGAGCAGAAACATAAAGAGGAGAGGATTCTAACGCAAGTTCCACCTACCCTGCTTGTTGGAATGGCTGCTCAGATTTACACGTTGGAGAGTCCCATCCTTCTGGCAGAAGCTGGAGTGGTGTTGGGGGCAGGTTATCTGGTGAAGTAGGAATGTACAGGAACCCCGCCCTCTAGGCACAGTTACACCACCCAAGCAGCCCATCTCAGCTAGCTGTACAACCTCTCCCGGTCTTCACCTTCACCCTTTGTTAGCCTAATCCTAATTCTCCAACGGAATTTTATCTCAAGCACAATCAGCCATTTCGCTATTCATAAAATTAATTTCTCAAAAGCAAATTATTTCACTTCATGCAAATGCTTCAACAACGGTGTGAAACTACATGTTTCAAAAACACTTTAAAGAGAGCTGTAAATAGAGTGGACTTATATACCTGTTTAGGTGAAATATTACCATTTTTTAAAGTTAATACATTGCAAGACTGGTGTTTTGTCTCTCAGTTTGGTTCAAGTCATAGAAATCGCATGAAGGCTACTATGATCATAAGGAAATTTATATTAAATATTGTTAGTTCTAGACTTTATGTTCATTTTATTTCCAATTTTGCAGCAAACTGAGGAAACATGTTTGGAAGCATTCCTTACTGTTCTAGTTTACATCATTTTCACATTGTTTTATAGATTAGTAGTTTTTATTAACTTTACGCTAGGTAAATTACTTTTAAACTTTAAATAAATATAATTTAAGTTGTGAGCATTTTCAATTCCAAAAATCTCCAAAAGGGCTAGCCCTTATTTCCATAAAAACAATTTTGAGTTTGGACGAAAATAGTCTCCACCAAGTTTGAAGTATTTTTCTGGCATGAGGTAATTTTAAATGACAAAGGCTGCTGACAACAAACAAGGCAATATTACAATTGATCTGATGCAAAAATACATCAAATGTCATCTTAGATTGTCATTTGTTTTAAAAAGATATCTTAAGGAATTATAGGATATAGCAAGGCAGATGAAATGTTCACTTTAGGCTTTAAAAGGCCTTGCAAGTTTTCTCTTTCTACAACCCCCTTCATGTCTACTATGGCTAATAAGTGAACTTCGAATCATATCCATCATAGATGTAATTTGGATATGTGTCCAGGCCCATCTACTCCACTACTTAGTTCTTATGAATGAAAAGAGGCCAATTTTATTCTTGACTTCAAAGTATAAAGTTTGCCTTAAAAATTCTACTCCCCTATCAGCCAAATAAACACTTTGAATCACAAATAAATAAGTATTTAATATATAATCAGAGAAAAAACTCATGGCGGAAATCTTATTTTTTTCTGTATCTATTTCCCTTTACCTCAGTATGAGGTCAACTTTCTTTTCAACTTTTACTAGGTAAAAATACTATATTTCCCCTGTGGTAATAACATTCTCATTTCACAAATAAAACCCATGGCAATAGCAAACAATAACTCATCACCTTTTCCCACCCTAGACATATGCCTTTTTTCCAGGTATTTTGGATCACAACTGTGTAATGGGGATTTACTTCGCCTAACCTCAGCACATGTACTCATTTTTTTAACCAGCTGTAAATATGGCTTTTCAACAATAATTTGTGAATTTTTTCTTTTATGTTTCATTCTGAAGAACTGTTAAGTTTCAAGAAACTTAGATCTCTGTTGAATGTTTTCTCATAATAAGAAAATAAAATCATGCTCAGCCTGCCTAAAGAAGATAAACTAGCTGTTTTAATCTATTTTTTGCTCACACCCCATATACTTGGCTCCAGTTCTTTTAATCTCTCTCTTTCTCTCTCTCTCTCCCTCTCTTTCTCTCCACTTACTGCCATTTTCCAATATTAACTATTCTGCATTTCAATTTCAAATCTACTTTAGTCAGCTTGCTTCTCCCCTAGGTTCCCCCTTCTGAGCAACTCTCTGCTTGCTGATAACATCTTAAGGGCAGATTATTTTTCATTGGGCCCATTGTAAGAAGTAGCCAGCTTATTGCATTACTGCAGAACACATTTCAGACTATACAATTGTAACAAATGAACAACTTGTCCTCTACAGACTCACCACAGGATCCAATTAGTTACTAAAGCTTTTACTCAGGTTTTCCAATTATTTTTTGGAGTTATAGCATTGGGCTGCCTGCAACGATTAAAAATGCTTTCATTTTGTTTCATATATATGCATATATATACATACATATGCATATTGCAAGTTCAAACAAAGTTATGACTCAGTGTAAGCAAAAGAAACAAATCTTTAAATTATACAGACATATGTAAAAGAGAATCAAAGAAGTACCTCTGTGTTGTAAAAAATGAGGAATAAAAGGAGAGAGAGGCGTGTTGCTTCTTCTGAGTATCTAGAATTTTAAAGTGTTATTATTTAAAATGAAAATATCAACATTGATCTGCAAGCCATTACAACAGGTGATCACTTCAGCAAAATCTATATTGCAATTTCAGCACATCTTTATTAGAACTCTTCCATTGTGGGTAAACAGCCACAAAAATAAATGCTGACTTAGAAAGTATAAATACAAATATTTAAACAAAAATGTTTGCAGCATTCATAGCGCAAATTGTACCTGAACTGAAGGGCTCTGTGTATCTCTATATATTACATATGTGTTCATTATTCACTTCTATCTAACCATATACATATATTTATTTATAATTTGCCAAGTGCTATAAACAAGATACCTGAAACAAAGTATATAAAAAGCATTCTATTAACTGATTTTAAAATAAACATCAATGCACATAAAATTAAATATCTCTTTTTTTGCTGTATATCCACAAATACTTAAAAGATATCAGCTGAAAAGCCTATACTTTGTTTAAAGCTAGCGTTTATTAAGAAGCTTGCTCCTGGTAAAATTTGTCCACAAAGGGAAAAGAAAAATTATTTCCATTTTTAGAGTAGCAGTTCAAATTAGAGGAGCAGCTTAAATCTTAGTGCGGCCAGAAGAGCCTTTGAATTCCCTACAAATTGAATGGTCTTTTAAAAATTAGCTCTACTTAATAAAAGACACAAAAGTATCAAGATATATATGAATTTAGCCTATTTTTTATTTCTGTGTGTTCATAGTAAACATTTTTGTAAGTGACAAACACGGGCATATGACCACAGTATCACAATCAAGAAATTTTAAGACAACATTAACAATCACTCAAATTTATGCGGCATTTGCGCGACACAGGTTACATATTTGCAAGGTTTACCTATAAGTACAATAGGTATTAACATTTCACTACATTTAGAAAAAATAAAAGTGACCTGTTAGTGACCACATACATCAAAATATACACAACACAAACTGAAGGCAATCATTAATTTTGTCCCCTTCCGATCCAATTGAATGGGCAGTACTGCCAACTGAAACGACTTTCCTTTTGTGTTTGTTTGTTTGTTTGTTTGAATACTTAGTATACCAAGTGCATTTTCTAGAATCCAATCTTTGGTCTAAAAGTAAACAAAACAAAACAAAAAAAAAGAGTTCTCTAAAGAAAAGGACAAAACAATAGATGGCCAAAATAATTTCTTGGGCACCTTTACTACGAATGCTTCTTAAATACAAATTACAGTTTAACAGTTTAAAACTCTCCCCATAATTTAGGTTGTTCTCAAGGTCTGCATCCACCAGAGCGATCCATGATAACTTATAATACTGCACACATGGAAATCTGGCGGCTCATAGAGATAGACTTGTCAGGTTTGAATGAAATGGCAAAGCAGTCACTATTTAGATACACATTCTACTATAATTTTGACTTCCAAACCTTATATTCTACAATGTATTCTTCCCCACATTGCACCTCGCTGACACTCCACACCTTGTTAGAATAATAAACAACCCTAAAGACTGAACAAACGTACAGAAACGGGAGGGGGGCTTAATAAAAAATACCTGGACTTATTTTTAATTATCATTTACAATGCAAATGTGTGTAAAACGTTCACTTACAGTCTGGTCCCAGGGATGTTAATGTATTAATGGGTTGGAAGAAGACCCCTGATTTTGATGTGTGAAATAATCAGACAGTCCTCCGGACAGTCCCGTCGTAAAACTTGGCAAAGAGGGTCTTAAAGACTCACAGGGCAGGGTCGAGGGGGCCTGCGGCGACGTGGAGGAGGACGCGGCCCGGGCGCTCATGGACGTGCTGCTCTGCGAAGTCATTGATGGGTGCGGGACGTGGGGGAAAAAGTAACTGGTCTGGCCCGCCAGCAGGTTGACGGAGCAGGGGTTGAGGGAGTAGGTCCCGGAGCAGGGCACCGACAGGCCGCAGGGCACCGAGGCGGCCAGCGCGGCGGCCGTGAGGTGGTGCGTGGCGTAGGGGATCTCGCCGTTGACCAGGCGGTCCACGCTCAGCCCGTTGGCCGTGGAGAACGAGTGGTTGTTGCCCAGCGAGTTCTGAGTCAACACGGAGCTGTAGGGCATGGGGTGGCTGGGGTAGGCCGACGTGGTGCCGTTGTAGCTCAAAGTGCTGCTGGCGCGGGGGTGGTGCAGGGACAGGAAGGGCGACATGGGCCAGTAGAGGGAGCCGGCGCGGTCCATGAAGGTGAGGCCGGTGGAGGTGAGGCGCGCCCCGCGCTTGAAGGCCAGCTTGGCGCGCGACGTGGTGGAGCGGCGGCGCAGCTTGCCCGTGGTGCCCCCGATGAACACGTCGTCGCTCGACGGGTCCAGCATCCAGTAGTTGCCCTTGCCCGGGTCGTCGTAGTGGCGCGGCACCTTCACGAAGCACTTGTTGAGCGACAGGTTGTGGCGGATGGAGTTCTGCCAGCCCTGCTTGTTCTCGCGGTAGTAGGGGAAGTTCTTCATGATGAACTCGTAGATGCCGTTGAGCGTCAGCCGCTTCTCGGGGCTCTGCCGGATGGCCATCATGATGAGCGCGTTGTAGCTGAACGGCGGCTTCTCGTACTTGCCGTTCTTCTTCTCGCCCTCCTTGCCCCCCTCCCCGTCCTTGCCGCCCTCGCCCGCCCCCTTCTTCTCCTCCCCCCCGGCGCCCTTGTCCTTCTCGTCCGGCCCGACGGCCGCCAGCTCCCCCGGTCCCCCGCCGCC